TTTTTGCTCAGGGCCAGCTTTGGACCACTATCTTTCCTTTGCTTCCTGTGCAGCTGAGACTCAGATGTGTACCACCATGCCTGGCTTTTTTGTTGAGATGGGGTCTCACTAACTTTTTGCCTGGGCTAAACTTGAACCTCAGTCCTCTTGATCTCTGCCTCCCAAGTGGGTGAGATTATAAGTATAAGCACTGCACTTGGCCCTTACTTCATATTTTAAATACATTTTATGATAAAAGCAAATATTCATGCTACCAAATATTTGCTAGAATTGTGCCCTTTCCCCCTTTGGAATAGTTTTTAAGCAAATCAAATTACTGAGGGATTTATTTAAACTAAAGATTGAATTTTCCTATACCTTTTTATTCAGTTACCATAGCAACAATTCAAATCAGTCAATCTGCCTCTAAATTACTTATTGTTATTAGGATTCCATTTCATGTCTTTGTTAAAAGTAAGTAATGTTAAGTAATGACCTTGAGGAAAAAAAATCTACCACAACTAATTGGCTATGAAAACAGCTTTTAAAAACATCAGCTAATTTAAATTTAATTTCTGTCTAAGCCTTAAAGCAGCAATCATGCTTCTACTGTAAACAACAGGAGTGACCTAAATGCATACAAATGTTTCCACGTGAACAAAACTCCTTCCTAGGAAAGATATTAAAATATAAAGTTGTCAGGAAGGAAAAAAGCTAGCTTTATTTTATTTATTTATATTTATCTTATTCCAAAAAACATTTCAAACTCCAGGTACAAGGTTAAAATGAGAATTCTACAAAGAATGAAGACTGAGGGGGAGGGAACTCAAAGGACTTCATTTAAACAATGTCAGCTGCATATGACCCCGAGTCTGTATGTTACTGTTCTACTGCACAGCCCTTATGCTTCACTAGAGGCCTAGGACAACCATAAACAAAAATAGATCCTGAGAAGTGATTTCCAGCACAGGGAGAAAAACCTGTCTCAAAGGCTGTGATGCTGTGAGTGCTTCTGTCACCTCACGTAAGTCCTACTGTGTGGAACAAAGAAAATGTACATGATGATGAAGCATGTACAAGGGTTTCATTACTGATACATGGTGTGTCCATCACTGTCTCGAGAGCTAAACTTCTATCAACTCATTTAAGACTCACGTCAAGTAGGTAAAATGGATCTTTAATAGTTTTCAAATATTTATTCTTACAGCTTTTACAAATCTTTATTTCTCTAATAAAAATTCCTAAAGCACTGTCAATCTCCTCACAGACAATCCAAGTCAATAGAAGCTTAGAGAATGGAGGAGGTTGACAAAATAACATTTCCTAAATGTTGGTAAAATCAGTAACATGGATAAGTGCATGTGCGTGAGTATTCATATTCTTCTCGTAGAAGCTATATTGCCCTAGTTGAAGCACTTAAAGCAATGCTCTGGCATTACTGCCTTGTTGTAGTATGGCAAATGGTCTTTCCTTCCCTCATCCCCTCTACTGCCAAGCCTGTGAAGGGGGTCCTAACAATATGCCTTCAACATGCCCTCATTTCCTGCTATCCTAGATCAATTCATACTCCATTTTATTTTAGGTGACTGAGTCAGAAGCTCCTCCATGATTTGTTTAGAGCACATAATTTGCTATAATTAATAAGAACATAGTTCTACAGGGCTGCAAACACTTCTTGCATCTATTCTGATTCATCCTTCATAAAGGCTTCCCTTTCGTCCTCTGCCTGTATGTAGCAGCACCTGCTTCCATTAGTGACCATGTGGATGGTCTGAAATCCATCCAGGGGCTGCAAAGTACAATGTTTGGGGACTCCTGCTTTAAGAGCCACGGCTCTGAAAGTCCTGATCGGTTCAGTCTGGTCTAGGCCACTACTTCCACAGCAGAAGGGCTTTACTCTTCTACCAGGATAAATATTGCTTAGTGTTTTCCCCTTCATAACTCAATGAAAACAGGACACGCTAGACCATGAGCCTGAACCTCAGGACCCAAGGCAAAGCCGTGTGGAAACAGCAGCATGTAGACAAGCCTTCGACAACAGGGGAAGGCACAAAGGACACGGACCCTTGCTTTTCAAAAATACATACCATAGTATAATTGTGAGCCACCTTGTGCAAATCTGTACAGCCTTGGGCATCAGCAAAGGAACGGATTCCAAGGCAGTTGGATGGGTGAAGCTGTTTCATTAAAAACTTACAGCATGCTTCCACAACCTGTGACAGCTGAAGAAGGCAGGCTGTGGATAACAGGCACTCAATGTTATCTTCTTTTAATTCAAGGCGGCCTAATGATAAAAAGAAATTCCATTCATTAGGGAGCCTTATTTTATAAATAACCGATGTTAACAGTAACACTTCTAAATGAAAGCTCACTGCAAGTATTACAAACCTAGAAGGGTTGACACATTCCAAAAACAAAAAAAGTATTAAATATGGAAAAAAATTATTAACTCTTTGTGACTTCTGTTAAAAAAAGGCTTACTTTCAGAATTTTTAAATGATGCATTAATTAGTAACTACTACCTACTATATGTACTTCTCAAATTTTAAACGTAAAATGTAACTATATTAAATAATTCATCTAGGTATATTGGTATTTTAAAATATCATTCCAAAGCTTCATTATGGTAACCACTTTAAAGGTTTTAATATAGAGATTTTCACCTATTCAAGGTATCCCAGGGGTGACGATGGCAGCAGTGGAATTAACCACTAGCTATGGCATGCGTCATTAAAAGCAAAAATCTGAAATCTGATAAATATAACACAAACCTAAGAGGTTTTAACAGACATTTTCAGATTATTACCCGTATATGCATACTGAATCAAAGACCACAATGAGTTCGGTTCTACGCCTTCCATTTTTATTTCTTCTTGTCTTGCTTCTCTGACATCATTAGTAAACATGGCAGCAAAATAATCTGAGACAGAGGAGAGCACCAATCTGAGAATACATTAGAAAAAAAAAATTCATGACCACCTTTACACTGATGTTCATTAATAAATGCTTTATCTTTTTTCATTTGTTGCCCATAGAAAGTACAGAGTTTGACAAATTGCTTTATGCCCTACTTCCTTTGAATAATAAATTGCGGTTATTGAGGAAAATGATTTGCCTGCTCACTACACAAATACTATTTTGTCACATCCAGGAGAAAAAGCTGTGAGCCCACAGCATTAACCTGATTCCAAAATAAAGGGTAAAGGTCATTTGCTGGTTACTGGTTTTGACAATAACCTGAGCTACTTTTGTAAATATATAGGAAACATTTCAAAATGGTTTTATCAAGTTATTTTTAACTTTGATAATATATTTATTATAGCAGTACATGTATTTCATTGTAAAACTGTAATATTTATAATATTATAGAACTGCATTTTATTTTGGTTTGTCTTTGCTGTACTAGAGATCAAAGATCAAACCTAGGGCCTTGTGCATGGTAGGCAAATACTGAGACACTGACCTACATCCCAGCCAGAACTATAATGTTTGATATAACACATTTTAACATGTGGCAGAGCTATGTCTCTACCAATTTTTTGAGTCACATTTAAGGTAATATATATATATGTAATGTTTATATATTATATATGTATTTAATACATATTATGCATTATATGATATCGAATATACATATACAGTTGGATGGGTGAAGCTCTTTCATTAAAACCTTACAGCATACTTATACAGCATATATTTAAATGTATGTACATAAAGTATATACACATCCTTTTTGAAACATGCATTTTTTCATTTGATTACATGTCTTGATGATATTTCTACATTAGATATTCATATAGGTTTTTTGTTCATTTTTTCGATCCAGCAACCTCTGGGTTATGGGCCCAGCATGCTTTACTGCATCGCTCTGCTACCTCCTTTACTAATTTTTCAAAGAAATGAAAACTACAATACAAAACAACAGATGAAGCTCTCATTGTGCTCTCTGTAATTCCAGGCTCCCCCTTCTTAGGGCTGGCATTGCCGAGTCCTAAGCTTTGCCAAATTGTTCTCCAAAGTACTGCCGCTATTCAGACCCCCACCAGTACTGTACAAAAGTCAACATTTCCCCATAACACTGAAAGATTTAAAAAATTTTGGCCATCTGCAAAATGTTAAATTGTATATTCTTGTTTTCATTTTCATTCATCTGATTGCTAGTATGACTGAAGAATCTTGAAATATTTTTGGTCAATCAGGTCCCGTCTCTGGAGAACTGCCTATTCATTCATTTGCTCACTCACTGAACAAATGCTGGTGTGAGGCTGCCAAGTAATGGGCACCGTTCTAGGTACTTGACATGCATCAGTGCACAACACAGATGAGGCCTTTCTCCATGAGATCTTCTATTGTGGAAGGAAGGGAGGCAAGCAATGAATAGAAGTAAATACTACGGTAGGTGAAAGGATAAGTGCTATGGGAAAAACAGTAGGGCAAAGACAAATAGGGAATAGATGTGAGTTTAATAGTCAAAGGGTACCATCTGGGCAAGACTGGAAAGAGGCAAAGAATTTAGTCATGCAGGCATCTGAACAGCACTGGGGCAGAGGAGCAGCAATACAGAAGTCCAAAGGCAGAAGGAGCATGCCTGGCACATACAAGGAACAACAGGGGTGTATGCAGCTGGTGCAGAATGAGCAAGGACAGCAATAGGAACACTAGACAGTACACCTAGTGTATTTTGCATTTCACACTCAGTGACATGAGCTGTCACTGAAGGGTCTCATCAGAGGAGCAACTGGATCTGAGTCCATGTTAAAGGATCACCAGCTGTTTTGAAGACAAAATGCAGTGATGGCACACTGTAATACCAACTTCTCAGGAGGTAGAGGTAAGAGGATCACAGTCCAAGGCTGGCTAGGCAAAAGTTTAAGACCCTATCTGAAAAACAAACTAAAACAAAAGGATGAGGGCCATGCCTCAAACGGCAAAGCACAAGTACAATGTTCTGAATTCAATCCTCAGTACTGCCAAACAACAACAAGAACAGAATGAAGAGTTAGATGGAAGCAGGGTGAGGAGCAGTGCACACTGGATGGTGACAACTCACATAAGCACACAGCTAAAGTAATGACTTCAGTTTGGATATACTTGAGGCTTTGGGTGCCTCCATGAAATCCAGGTTGACATACGCTTTCTAATAAACCCATGTCGTAACATGGACTCTGTCATGGTTTACAGTAGTATCTTGATAATGTCAACTGACCACTGTGGCACCAAGTTCCTTCTTTCTAATGACTTTACTTGCACTTTCAGAGGGTTTTACAAAAACCTTTGAGGCTGTGTTAGTTAGTGTTGAGGGGCATTAAAAAAAAAGAAAAGAAAACCTTCTGGGATGACAGTGGTAATTAACAATGAACAACTAAAGAATATAAAATTATCAGAAGAAAATGAATTATTCTTTGTTCTTTTTCTTTTCTTACTTTAAAAATAACACATCATTTGTGTACAAGGGTTTTTTTCCCTATTACCATTTTGCATATTTCTTAGAGATCAGCAAACAACAATAGGGATACACGTGGCTATTTAAAATCTAAGGGAGCCAGGAATGTAGTAGTTCAGTGGCAGAGTGCAGGCTTAGTGAGCATGAAGCTCTGGGTTCAATTGGCAGCATCCCTCCCTGCAGAAGGAAACAAACAAACTAAACCTGTTAAGACTTTAGCAGCTCTGTTTCTGCTGGCTTGTTGCTTCTACCTTCTCATAAACTCTTAATTCTATTGTTTATTTAAAGTATCCAATAGTTCAGCTACACATGGTGGTGCATGCTTGTAATCCCAGCACTCAGGAAACTAAGGTGATTGCAAGCATAAACCAGCCTGGGCCACAAACAAAACCAAAAGCAAACAAAAAGTATTTAATAGCTACCTATGTGGGGTGAAAGCTGCTTATAACAATTGAAATCTATGCCAAACATTATTGACTGATGTGAGACTTGTGTGTTTTGTTTCTGTTCTTCTACAAAAGGAAAAATGAACCTTTTATGATCAGTTAATGTGTAATAATACACCATTTTCTTTTTGGCAATTTCATAATAGCCCCTTTCCCCAAAGCATAACAGTCACCATACATAACCAAATTACCTACGAAATATTTCATTTATCTAGAAATTAGAAAAAAATTACCTGTGAGCTGGAATTCTGCGGTCACCAGCAACTAAAATTACATCACATAACTGTTTATGTCTCAAATAGTTTTCCATTTTTTTAAATGTTTGCTCAGCATGATTAAGGGCTTGAAAAAATTCATCTGCTGAACATGGCTCCATAGTATGGCAGGATGATAATGTCTGGCTGCTATTGGAGGTCCTGAAAAGAAAGAAAACACATTTTAAAATATACTAGCTGCATTAAAAAGATCTCTCCTTCAAATCCCGATACTGCAAAAAA